GGGGGGGGGGGGGGGGGGGGGGGGGGGGGGGGGGGGGGGGGGGGGGGGGGGGGGGGGGGGGGGGGGGGTTATTGGTTGGTCGACGAACTATGTTCTAGTGTCTAAAGAGGTAATCGATGGGAGTCAGTCTCAGTGTATTTGCGAAAGTTCCGTCAGTCGTTGGTTAACCGCTTAGAGGTCCTAGTTGCGCAACTTTTTCCCGCTACGTCGCCGAGTTCACTCCGCCGGGGTAGCGTTCACTCTCACCCCCCGGGGTCTCACGGACATTGGTGCATCGCGCCAATTGAATATCTGGTTTACTGCGGGCCAGACGCGGCCGCGCTCGTCATGGTATTTGCCGTTAAAAATAGCCTTCGCGTGCCATATGGGTCGGTAAAAGTGCATCGGTCCGCGTGGTATCCGTGTCCTCCTTTCGTTCGTTCGTTCGTTCGTTCGTTCGTACGTACGTACGTACGTACGGTCGGTTGCTTCGCAGTGGTCGGTTCTTGAATAAAAAAGAGAAAGAAGGAACGAAAGAGCGCGCCCTCCCGGAATCGTACGTTCGATTCTTGTCGACGTCGCCGCCTCGTTCGATCAGACGAACGAGCAAGAGTCGCCGTGGCTCTTACATCAGATTACCTCGATATTACAGCGGTTTGTTGATTCAAGGGAATTACTCAAGCAACACGCGTACCACACGCGCGTTGGTGTAAAATATCATAACCCTTTCCAATCGCGGCGCGGCGCGACGCGACGCATGATTGACTCGCGAATACGCGAGTTTCTCGCGGGGCGAGGGTGAACATGTCCGCGCGCGCGAAAAGTCGCCGGTTCGCGCTCACGAGCGCGCCTTTACACACGAAAGGGGGAAGCCTTAAAAACGCGCCGCGCTCGAAACGCTCGCCGTATACAGGTTCGACACAGTTGCGCCAGAGTCTCATTACGCAATGCGCGCCGCGCTTTCACGCTGTCATTCATTGCGCTGCGGCCGCCAGCAGGCTCCGCGGATGCGTGTACGCGTGGCTGCATGCAATATACGAGAGAGAAAGAAGGAGGGAGAGAGAGAGAAAGAGAAAGAGAGAGAAAGAGAGAGCCCGTATGCTCACACACACGCGAGGAACGCTTGATATTAATAACGCGCATGTCGATGTGGCAGCCGTGGACACGAGAAGCGAAAACCCATTGACCGTGACCCTGTCGGTTTCTAGTTTAAATCTAAAGTGCATGAAGCGCACGACGAGCTCGCGGAAAATACGTCACTTCCGCGAGAACGAGTCCTTTGCGGCCGCGAAGAAACGATTTTGCGCGTCTGAGCGTGTATTCTCGAGTGTGTACTCGTACGTTAACATGTTCATGATCAGAGTTTGTTTGGAAAACTCTGTCCATGTATTACCGTATTTCTTCTAATGTACTGAGTCATATAAAACAGGCTTAAGCTCATATTAATAGTCATTATTTGAAACTTGCTTCTCAGGCCAGATACTTACATTTGAATTTAATAGTCGTTCCTTGAAACTTGTCTCACGAGTGAGATATTCAGATTTGAATTTAAAGTTGGATGTGAAGCTTTTAGTTGAATCATGATTATATTACGCATATAATGTCACGTGCCTCATGTAATTTAACCAAAAAACTCAAATCTAACTTTAAATTTCGACAATATATTCAGATAACAAGCCTTAGACCCGTATTATTAATCGCGTATTACTTGAATTTTTTCTTACGTGAACTCTGATTGGAATTTTGAGTTAAATCTGAGTTGTTTAGTTAAATCATACGATATACGTGACACATCGTGTGATCGCGATTTAACTGAAAAATTTACAGCCAACTCTAAATTCAAAGCTCAACATCTCACTCGAGACAAGTTCCTAGTAACGACTGTCGATACAGCCCTTAGAGATAGATTGTTCAGCTGAAGCGCGACTACAAATGCAACGTCGCCCATGTTACACGATTCTAATAAAAGCTCAACCTAAGTACATCCGGTGACATTGTTAGCAAACGTGTCTTAGAATCGGTGCTTTTCCCTCTTGCAAATCGTCGGTCAGTCGGTCGAGAGAATCCGACGCTGAACAATTAGACGCGAATTACACGGTCGTGCACATACCGGACATACGGCGATCGCCGGCCGTCCGCGAATTTCAGCGGCGCATAAATTAACGAAACGGAAACCGCGCCGCGCGAATCGTTTGAGAATTCCGCGGGCATTATAATGCATACGCGACGTAAATAATCCAACAAAATCGCATTGTCACGCGGGCCGTATCCGCTTGGCGGCAAGGAATGTCGCTCGACCGCAGTCGTAGCGCCTGATAAATGATCACACCCGCGGAATATTAAGACTCTCCGGCCACGTACAGCGATACGAGCGATGCGAACAAATGTTCTCGGCCGCGTAACTGCAGGAAAGAAAACGAGCGTGGCTCCACGCGGACAAATCGGCCGCGCAAACGTTGTCAATTTGTCCATCAATTTTCGCGCGCTCTTCCCTCGCCTGATTTTCCCTTAACTCGCGAAAACCAATTCTTCTTCCGTTGATTCTTTTCTCTCTCTCTCTCTCTCTCTCTCTCTCTCTCTCTCTCTCTCTCTCTCTCT